GGGTTGTTACCAACATCTGGTGAAAATTTCACGTCATTAGCACCTCTAGTAATATATTTACTGAGAAAAATGGTGACGTGTTCAATACTTATTTTACCCGCTATAAGTATGAATGAATTTTTTGAAGCTAACACAGATAAAATACCGCATAAATAATTCACACTGCTGATATTTACAGTTGTTGAGATATTTGAGATGTGAAGTAACAGGAAGTGATGTCAAAGGGGAATGTTTGAATGTGAACAAAGTGTTGCTACAATGCTAACAGTGCAGACTGTAGAGAAGAATCTGATGTTTGTGTTTCATTATTTTGAGTCAGATGGAGATAAAGAAAAGTCAGAGTTTTAACGTTTCAATGATCAAAGACCAGAGAGTTTTCTTTCTTAAAGAGTTCCCCTTTGATGTCACTTCCTGTTTCACTTTGGCTGAGCCAAGTTCAAAAGAAGATATGCCAGTTATGAGACAAAATGTATAAAATTGTGTGTATTATGCCAAGTTTTAGATGTTTTCTTTAACTTTCTGTATTTAAAGGATAATGTCAAAGGTACTTTAATTATTTGTATGTTCCCTTTAAATAGCCTGATTTTGAAAGCAAAAAAGAACAAAAAAAGAAAGTTGTTTTAAAAACTTTTCCACAGTAGCATACCTGAAGGCTCAGAATTTTGTGATATAATGCTGGAGATTTGTACAAAGATTATTTTATGATAAGAAATGTTGAAGTTATTGACATTTCAGTCAAACCTTGTAAATAGTGTTATACACTATCCCATGTGATATTATGAGATTTTGCGCCATCTGCTAGTCAATGTGTTGTGAATAACTCAGACACTAACACCAAATTTGATAATCATATATATATATATATATATATATATATATAATCACGTCAGTAAAATGAGTAGGTATAGTCATTTTGGTGTGATAAAGTTGCTAAACTGGTGGTCATATTAAATCAAACTGAAACCTAAAGAAATCAGCAGTGGATGCTTGTCCAATGATTACTTTCTGAGAGTTTCATTAAAATCAGTGCAGGGTACGGACACAAAAAAAAAAAAAAAAAAAAAACACTCACAGAAACACTAGCCAAAACATTATCACCCTGTTGCCTGCTGCAGCATTCAATAAAAAGCAAAGTAACAAAGACTCAAACTAAACCAACTTCAACACATCTGTTGTCTGTGAAACTAAGAATTAAAAATGTTACATATTGTTTTCTACAACTAATATACTGGGTGCAAAAAAGGTCAACTCATGGTTTCAATTACCATTTCAGAATTCCTTTCAATTTATGCTACATATTTGTACATTATGTGGCTTTTTGTTAATCTGCAGGCACCACGAAAAAAAAACATATTTTCTTTGCTAAGTTAACAAATCACCAGTTTCAAGCCTTTTTTTATCTTAACTTAATTATTTTTAAAGTCAAGATGGTAAATTTTACAAGTTTGCTTTTAAATTACTAATGGAAAAAGCTGCAAGACTTTAAAGTTGAATGAAATTCAGACAACAGAAGTTTTAGATTATGTACTGTGTTTTTTTAGTGCTGCTATTTTAGGTAACCTGAAGCCCAAAAAACCATGAACATAAGAAGGAACCCCAGAATTGCTGTTTAACTCCAACATGTTTCCTGGACTGTCTGGTTCTAGGCTGGATTATTGTAAATGTTTCTAACCTCAGTTATGCTGCTGTGGGATTAGACTGCTGGTTAACAAACTGACAACATTTTAACTCTCTGCTGTATAAAATGCTCCTGCTGCTGTCATTAACCTGTGTTTTTCTGTTTCTCATACAAACTACACCTGCACCCACCCTTCTGTGTCTCTTTCCTGTCCTCTCCACCTCTAGCCGCCCATCCTGAGCCTGGAGCTGCAGGTTTCAGTCGTTCCTTTCTGCTGTGGCCTTCATGAGTCATGAAGTGAAGATCGAGACAATCTGCTGGCTTCTTCAAACAACTTTTTTTTTTACTAATTGGCATTTCATGTACTGTTTGGGGATTTTATTGTATCAAAATTTGATTTTATTGGCTGTAATTGGACCTGAACTTGAATTTGTTTTGAATTGATTTCAAACTTGTCAGTGTGCATTGCCAATGCAATGCACACTATTGTGACTCATTTCCCATCCAAGTCATCTCAACTTTGCCATGCTTCGCCTCCTGCATACTTTGTCCTAGAGCTGCCATTGTAATTTATATCTGTAAAGCTCCTGTGCCAAACGATGGCTATGCCTTTTGGTGCCTGTAAAACTTATAGTTTTTGAAATATTAATGTTGAAACTTTATTCCAAATTCATAAAATKGGAGTCAATGGGGCCTTGTAATGGTCCAATACTGCCCCCAGCTGTACTCAACTTGGTACTGCACCATAGTTTTTTATATTTAATCTCAATAGTTCAGTGTTTACAATACTAATAAGATTATATTTTTGATGTTTTACTATATCATTATCTTAATATTGCTCTATTGTTGTAATATTAGGCAGTTTTGTGTCAATAATTGCATTGGCAATGTGGCCTCCTTCTGCACACATACAAACCAACCCCTGGCACCACCTTCTTCCACAACTCCATTGGTCTAATTGTCTATGTCATGGACTTTCATGTGGGAGATCAGGGTTCAAAACCCAGCTAACGCAACTTTAACAAAAAAATCTCCTCCAAATTCATATTGTCACACAATTACCTTAATTACAAACACCTGCTGACGTGACAGGCACAAGCTGGTATAGAAAACACATTTGAACTTGGTCAAAGTTACTTCTGCAAGTCCAATGCTGCAGGCAAAGCCATGCTACAATGACATGCTACATGGCAATGCACACTTGTTTTTACATCGTAAAAACCCATGTCTAGTTATTTTTGTTGTTCGTTCATTGGGACTGACTTTTGTTGTGAATTGCCACGTTATAAATGAAGTGAGCAGAACCTGTGCAGTTGTTTGAGTCTGTGGGCTGTTAGTAACTAAACTTAGCACAAAATGAGAAGTTTGTGTTTAGTAGATGTAGATGTAGATGTATTTGTTGTAACAAAACCTGGGTAATAACTCTTATAACTGGCACAGTGGCAGATCTAGGACTTTTCTGAAAAAGAGGCCATCGAGGGGCCACAATATTTATGAAGGGGCAAGTAATTTGTTCAAAATCGTTGCACACAAATCTCCAGTTTGGGTCAGATGTATACATTTAACCAGTCACACATGTTCAAACACAACACTTGCAATTAAAAAAAGTTTGCACAGTAAATTCTTCTTACCAATTTTTCATGCAATTTTACTGTATATAGATAAAATATTCTCAAGCACACAGCATGTGAAAAAATTCAGCTCTTATTTATCAGTTGAGTTTTTCTGCAGGAAGAAGAGAAGAAGTTTGATTCATTCTGGACTTTGACTCATTAATGCCTCTAGTGTTTGAACATGGAACTGCATTTACCATCAATTTGTTGAACATAAAGAGGCACGAGGCCCAGTCAGACATTAACAATGTACGGATCAAAATAATAATTATTCTAAATCTGGGTTTAATTTTTATTGTATTTACATCATAACTAAACTATCATAACTAACATAACTAAATTAAAAAAACTTACAGTTAAAGAGTAAAACTCCTGTCAAATAATCACAAGACATGATTTTAACAAACACTTTTATATTGTAACCTGCCCATAACAATTATTTGAACAAATACAAAGGTCAGTCAACAGACCACTCAGGCTTATCAGCACAAAAATAACTTTTTAAACATAAACAACAACAACAAAGATAGATAATTCAATAAATAAAATTGTGAAATATTTAACTTAAATGTTCCAAATAAAAAAACTGTAAAAATAAAATTTAGGGCTGCAA